CCCCCCATTTCTGTCTGAACACTTGTCGACCGTCTTACACATGTTCCGCGTGTGATTTTATTGTTCCCCCCATGTGTGTGCTGGTGCACGAAACTATGACATCAGGCAACCACCGACAATGTGGGGCCCCGCACGGTGGAGATTGAGGTCGAGCTGGGGGGTAGGGGGGGTAGCTTCCTCGTGGTGAAGGACAACGGCAGAGGGATGAACGCTTCCGGGCTGAAGGACTTTGCGACCTACTTCCTCACGCAGGTTCGATCATGGCGTGGTGACGGTACTGACGATCGTGTTGGTGAGTTGTGGTACTAATCGGCGTCGGCGATGGTGGCGATGATGGTGCCCCAAGGCTTGTTGTGCTGATTGTGGCGAGGATGGTGCCCCAAGGCTTGTTGTGCTGATTGTGGCGATGATGGTGCCCCAAGGCTTGTTGTGCTGATTGTGGTGCTGGCGGTGGTGCTAATGAGGATGGCAACCCTAACAACAGAGTATTGCAGGCCCAGAGATGCCATTCAAAGCGTGGTCGGTCGGTCACTTTTAGCCCTGCGTTTTCGACGGGCTCGTTGCAGGCGTCCGCATTGCCTGCCACGTTGCGCTACAGTAGACCTCTCCGAATTGAGCACGTGTAGTAATGAAATCAACCCACGTGGCTGTGGCTGAGGGACGAACCGCGACCAATCACCGATGAGGAAGTTAACCAACCAGTCACCGACTTGCACCTTGCCGGACCGGAGAGAAAAGTATAATTTGCAGTCAACACCATCAGTACTGTAGATCCAACCTACCATGATGAGCCATGTGCACACCTCATCGTTCAACGTGTAGGTTAAAACAGCTTGAATGTTTTTGGCTCAAAATGCTTCAATGTTTCGGCTTACAAGAGCTCATGATGCATCCAATTTTCACCAGGAATTCCTCGACACTCATTGCACTGTTAAAGACTTCAACACACTCCTTCGGTTAACCTGGCACGAAATATGCGTATCTCGAACGGGCAGTACCTATGCGCTTTGTGTGCAAATTTTCTAAACAACCGTATCCCCTGGCCTCATTTCCATGGACAGGAGAACCGCGGCGTGTCCGGCCCTCTGGGGTCATCCACCCCGGCCTTCGTGGAATCCCAGCCAAGCGTGTGTCAGGGCGGCAGCGCAAGCGGGACCGTGGGGGGCGCGCAGACCGCGAACGGGAAGGGGAAGGGGCCGGCGGCGCCGAGACCGCACGGCGGGACCCCCGGCAAGATGAAGGGCAGCATTTGGTGGGTTGCGTCGTTTTTTTGTACCCGGAGTGGTAGTGCAAGCCACGCATTGAGATCTGCTGCTGCTGATGCTGGTTTATCGGAGTTTCCTTTTTTTTTTTGCCGTGGCAGCGATGCCCCCTCAGGTTGAAACGGTCAATGGTCATTACTCGCAATGAATAGCTGACGTACTTATTCGACGAAACGTAGAAGGAACGCACGTGAAGGGAGAGAACGGTAGATACGTTTATATGTTTTCAGATAGGTAAAAACTACTCGGGGAGCTCTTGTCTGTTTTCCAGCAGCTTTTGACCTGTTGGGCATTTTGAGACTGTGAATTCGTCGCTACTTCTATCCTGAACTGTTCACCCGTGGATAGTGTTGGGGTCTTTTTTTTTTGTGCGTGCTGTGAGAAGAATGCCTGTGGAACACGCTGCAGGGAAGCTCGGCTTAGAAGTAGATCGTTGCGCCAGGGTGTGGAGAATATCTGCGGGCCCGCGTTAACTTGGACCTCAGCGCCGGGTGTCTGGTTGGGCTTGTTTGCCCGCGGTTTGCGTCTTGATTTTGTTTGGTCTCCGATATTTTAAAGGCCGGTTGTCGTTGTGGTCGGTGCTGCTACTTCTCACCGAAGAGCTGCTTGCAGCTGAGGATCATACAATCCAGCCATTGATCGCCCGAAGGCAACCGCGACCCCCCCCCCCCCCCCCCCCCCCCCCCCCCCCCCCCCCCCCCCNCCCCCCCTCCCCCCCCTGCTCTGCATTGCCACTGGAAATCCCAATAGCTCTGGGTTCATCTCGAAGTTTGGGGTGGGTGCTCTCCAGGCGGGGTTCTACATAGGATCGTGTTTGACGGTAAGGCATGAAAGATAACATTGTAACATGCAGTAAAATCATACCGTCCGAACGCTCGAGGTAGCCTCGTTGATGTGCGTGATTGACCGAGTTGATTTTTTTTACGTCAGTTCGGTGAATGACTGAGCTGTCCAATGATAGCCTTGTTTGATTGCCCGGTTGGGTTTAGTTTGTTATTTGAAGTACGATTTATAACCCGGCATTTGCTACATCGCATCGTTCCGTGGATCAATTTCGATAAGTTTTAGACAAGCACTGCAAAAGGAAGACCGAAGATAAAGTCCTCTTGGCCTTTCCTCCTGTTTTACCCCGGCTGGTACGTCCAGAAGTTGTACCGAAGTACCGAAACGTTACTAGAGACCGACGCCCAGAATGAACGTGGTGCCAACCAACGAACACTAGGGTAACAACACGTCAGCTATTTACCCCCCCTGCTCTTGAGCGAATACATGTCGTGGGTCGCGAAGTAATCCTTTTTCCGTGCTTTCATCTATCTACCTATGATGTCTATCTTCATGTGATGCCAAGGACGGCCCGCCTGCTTGACGATCATGCTACAACAACAAAAAGTTGGGAACACATCAAACAGGTGACACTGCGTTATTTTTCGGCGCATTTCTTTAATCGTTGATCGCGGGATTAATCCTTGTTCCGTTCTATCAATCTACCTTGTGTTATCTTCAGGTGGTGACCAAGACGGCCCGTCTTCCAGACGTGTGCGAGTTCGTGATGAACGAAGCGGAGTTCGAGCGTCGAGCGGAGACCAACTCCGCGATGTTCCGCGACAAGATCAAGCAGCGGAACCCCGGAAAGAGCAGGGCGGAGGTGAGAGAGGGGTGTATGGCGTCCTGACGCTTTGCATGACCCTATGGGTCGTCCTCGAGAGGACGGATCATGTGATGAACGATGGCCAATCGGTCCTTCCTACATTGTCAAAGCTGTCTCAAAAACCTATCCTGTCAATGGCTTCTGTTGCTTGCGTATGCGTTTAGTGACACGGGGCGCTGGGAATTTGCTTCTGTTAATTGGGTAACCGTTTGTTGTTGGTGTTTATAAACCGGTACAATTTTTTAGCCATCGCTATGATGCTGTTGTAAGACTGCAATACACTGATAAATGGCTTGCGTTGATTTTGTAACCGTCAATCTATTTCACGAAGGGCCCGGAGGCCGAACGGAACGGGCCGGCGCACGAGCTGCTGGGACGGTTACGGGCGCAAGAGGTCGGGAAAAGCCATTTCACCTACATTGTACTCACATTGCGGGATCAGCACGTGGAGGTGAGAGATGCTGTCGATCTTCGTCGCGATGGTGGTGATGAGCACAATCCAGACGCTGTTGTCATGTTTGCGTGGGCGGTGACTGACATGTGTTTCAATTCCGCGGAAGAAACCTGACCATCATTTGCAAGGCAAGGGTCCGCCTGCCTCTAAATAATTTACGTACTCTTTCACCTTGATAGATGGGTACCGCCCCCCTCCTCTCCTCGACCGTTTGAGACGGTAATTTCCCTTGCCCCCTCCCCTATCGTGGACCCTTTTGAGAACGTCCATTCCCTTGCGCCCCCCCCCCCGACAAAACAATCACCACAACAAAAAATCAATCACGGCACCGGCGACGACGACGACGGTAACGACGGTGGCGATGCCCACCATCAAATCAGTGGTTCAGCAACCACGACAAGGGGTCGCTGAAGCGAGAGCTGGCTTCGATTTACCATTACTACCTTCACCCTGAACACTGCCCGGGTGGTATCCAAAGGTGCGCTACCTGTTTGTTGAATGAGTACTCTCGACGCCTCGTTGTTGGTCAGATGCATTATCAAGTTGGAGTTGTCTTGGTCGTTGCTGTTGTTGCGGCTGCGGTTACGGTTGTTACCTTGTCATGGCAATCGTTGTCGTTGTTGTCGTTGTTTTCGTGTCTGTTACGACGGTGGCTGTAGATTTACGTTTGTCATGGCAGTCGTTGTTGTCGTTGTTGTTGTTGTTGTTGTTGTTGTTGTTGTTGTTGCTGTTGTTATTGTTGTTGCTGTTGTTGTTGTTGTTGTTGCTGTTGTTCTTGTTGTTGTTGTTGCTGTTGTTCTATTGTTGTTGTTGTTGTTGTTGTTCTATTGTTGTTGTTGTTGTTGTTGTTGTTGCTGCTGTTTTTGTTGTTGTTTTCGTGTCTGGTACGACGGTGGCCGTAGATTTACGTTTGTCATGGCAGTCGTTGTTGGTTGTTGTTGTTGCTGTTGTTTGCCATGCGCTCAACAGCAGTTGTTGTGGTTTGCGGTGCAGCTAGAAGCTGGTGATGATGTTTCCCTTGCCTCGATGTTGTCGTCTAATCGTTCTGGCCTCGATGCAGCACCTCCCGTTCTCTACGAGCCGAAGACATCGGAAGTATATCCTATTTTTACGTGTTACCATCGGCATTTCCCTGAGTATCTAGAGTACCGTATATGACACAAGATAACACACCCCCTCGACCGATTTCCGAAGCTCGATTTCTCAACTGCAGTAACAGCCACAGCGCCGAAAACGGCGGCGTTGAAACCGTCTCGTCGAGAGCTTCTCGAAAATGTATCGTTTCGTTTATGCATCCTCTTCGTCGTGGAGTAATCGAGCTTTGAAAATCGGTCCGGGGGGTGTGTTATCTTGTGTCATGTACGGTAGGCACATCTTGTGGAGGAATAATATTGCCCGGAGTAAATCCCAAAAAACGCTGGATATGCCTCATGAGTCTGTTTTGTTTCGTTTTTTTATCCGCCGCTGATGAAACAAAGCCGTCGCTCTGCTGCTGCATACTCTTGAGACATACTCCTGCAACCCCGTTTTGTTGAAGAACCCGAGCACATTTTTTTCCAGTTTTGGACCCGCAAACTGTTGTTTTTTTCGCTCCATGACCCGTACACTGTTTTTTATTTTTTTCCAGATTTGGACCGGAAAAACTGTACGTTTTTCTCCAGTTGAAGACCAAATAATTACGTTTCTCGCTTTCGTTTCACCTCTCCGCTGTTTGGTCCGTCGACTCTTTTCTTTTTTGTTTTGGTCTGGCAGGGATGACGACATGCCGAGCTCCTTCGAGGACAACAACCGTGCTGGTGCTGACGGCCGGGGGGAGGAAGGGGCTGCGAGTTCTACCACACACGGCGACCCCGGCGGACAGGGAAGCGGCGCAATCGGTTCCTCTTCGGGAGGTGGTGGCGGCCAGAGGGCGCTGGAGATCACGTACACGCGGCGCAATCGATCGGGACAACCGGCGGATGTGTGCCGTTTGGGCGACATCACCGACGACGTCGAGAGCAGGTATGTGAGGTATCTCGTTTTTTTCCGTTACAATGGGGTACAGGGTTTTGTAGTACGTTTTGACGCCGACACTAGTATCGAAACGGGCGGGGGCAGGCGACGGTTGTACTCCCGGTCGGATGCCATCAAGGACGATGTCGAGAGCAGGTACTTGGAAGTACTATATTTTTCCGTTGCAGAGGTTTGTAGTCCAGTAGAGGAGGCCGACTAAATAGCGCCGTTGCCCGGTATCGTGCCGGTGTTTTTTTTCGCGTTTCTTGCTTCGTTTTGAGGCTCAACACGGCGCGTCCTGCCTGTTTCACATAGGTGTGCTATTCTCCCGTGCTGAACCCCTGTTTTTTTTTTGTAGTTTCTTGGCTCAACGCTGCGCGAAACGACTCGTTCCTGTTTCACATGAAGATGCTTTACCCGATGCTGAACCCCTGTTAATTCTTCCACACTTGTACCTATTTACGTTTTTAGGCTCAACGCTGCGCGAAAAAGGACAAGTTCCTGTTTCACATGGACATGTTTTTTTTTCTGGTGCCGAACCCCTATTATTTTTTTTTCACTTTTTTAGGCTCAACGCTGCACGAAAAGACTCGTTCATGTTTCACATGGAAGTGCTCCACCCGATGGTGAACCCGCGGGACGAGACGAAGCGCCTGCCCGTGACGGTGAGGAGCTTATTGCCCGACGCTAGCGTCGCCGCAGAAGCTCGACGCGTACCGGTTACGGTGAGGGCGATAGCAGGGTGACGCGCCCCGCACCCGTTGTTGTAGCGGTAATTCTCGCTTTGATGGGGTGGGGAGAGGGTACGGTGCGCATGCCCGTTTCGGTTGCGTTCCTCGAGGAGGGGGGGAAGAAAATGTGGCTCGCGTACCCCACCCGGTCCCGTGTTGCGGCGTTGCGGTGCGTTCCCCGAGGGAGGGGGGTGCCAAAAGTGTGGGTTGCGTACCCCCGGTCACGTTGCGGTGCGTTTCGGAGGGGGGGGTGTGCTCATAGTCGTGCATGCCGTAGTCGTTAGACCATTGACCTCGCATCCCTACAAAGCCGGGACGGAGCACGCCGGGTTCTCACCGGACCAGGCTCTCACATCACCAAGCGCGAAGCG